AGCAAACATGAGCCTTACCCCATGGCATCCAATATTTCAAAGATTCTTTTACAAAACTGTCCAATTTAACCATTTCATCAATGGCATTAAAATCCAAATATCCATCTATAGCTGCATTAGATATCATTTCGTTTTCTTCAAGTAATTCTTCCCAATACTCAGGACGAGCACAGTATTCTTTATTTATTTATTTTTAAAAAAGGATTGATTATATTATTGAAATGTAATTTTAAAAGTATATTTAGGAATATACTACCATAGAGTGTAAATATTACAGCATCAGAAGTTGTTTGTACAGATATAAATATGAATTCAATAATATAGTCGGTTAATAATTGTAGATTTACACAATTATCATCGGTTGAAAAGTCAATAAATGTCTGTAAAATATCCGCCTATTATAAAATAAAAAAGGATTAATAAATATTCTAACATGACAAAATTTAAGTATTTATTATAATTCTGTTTACCGGAAATATCCAGGCGTTACCCAATTTATTTTTTTCATGTTCTCGTTCTTTAATTATTTGTGAAAGTCTATTAAATATCAAGTTTCTATGCTTTATATAAATGTTGTTAAAGTATTTTAGGCGAATTCTAACACATTATAAGAGTCAAAATTAATTGAGAAAATATAAGTTTAAAGCATAACAAATCCATATATTTAAAAATAATACTAACATAGTAAATTGCTTATGAAGAGATTTATGAATAAAGTTTAGGATTGGTGGAAATTTAAGTACTCGAGTAATGTCACTTGTTAGACTTGCGAACGTATTAACAATTTCATCGTCATCCATCAATTTCTGTAATAATATTAAACATTATTAGTTACTTAAGTTCAGAACAAGTAAATTTATTTAACAAATAATATGATTAATATTTGCCTCTCCAAGAATAATGCTAACGATATTTCTTGCTACTAATTGCGAAAATACTTCTTGAGGAAACTTTATGCATTTTGGGTCTAAAAAGAAAAGAAAGTAATTAAGAAAGTAATTAAGCAATCAAATTTACTTTTATTTATATATTACGAGTTTTATTACCTTTACATTCACCAATGGACTTATTAATAGAAATTTTTATAGCATCTTGAATCTTACTCGTGTAAGTTTTATATCTTCCCGTACTAGAAAAATTATCTTGCACAACTTTAATGAGATTTTCAAAGAAAATTTTTGGACGCCTTAACAACTTATCAGTTGGCAATGTCTGAAAGATTATATTATAAATTTACATAAAAAAAAATTAAGGATAAATTAATATGAAAAATAAAATTAATAATGAATAGTTTATTCACAACATCTATAACCCTTTTTTAAAAAAGTAAATAAGTATTATTTATTTATTTCTCGCAATGGTAGGAATAAGAGGTAATATCTAGTTACATGAGAGCCAGAAGGACCCTCATATAATTGGGAGTTATTTCCCCGTAGTGAGAAATAAGGGCATTATTCTTCGTTTTGTATGATATGCGGTGATTTAACGACTTATAATCACAAGTTGTTATTTCCCGGTTTACCGGAAAATAACAAGTGTTAATGGAAACTTGTTTTTTATGATAATAAGCCGTTAAACCACATATCGATATAGAAATGTGGAATAGTAAAAAATTTTTCTTTTAGTAAAATATGTTCAAATTTTGGGTTATTTAATAAACAATCAAATAAATAAAAAAGGTATCTTATAAATGAATAAACTATTTTAGTATTAATAACCACTACTTATAGGAATTCAGTAATATTTACTTCTTTGAAAGCTTCGAAAAAATTAAAGTCATCAGGATTCTTAGTAATTTCGGGAATTAGTTCTTTGCCAATTGTGGTTATTACATGTCCGAAAACATAAAGGGAGAAGATTTCGCCGTACTGATTGACATTTATGCATGTATATGAAGTAATAATATAAACTCGAATAGGTATAATGAAGCTTTACCTGTTTATGACATCTTTTGATAAGACTTTCAGTATTTGTAAAATACTCAATAGTATGTCCAATTATTGGAAAAGAATATGGCACGAGTGGTGGTTCATTCTGAAGAGTAGAGATAAGTGAGTGATTATAGTAGTCATTATTTAATAAAGAAATAGAGATTACGTTACCAAAATTTGACGAGGTTTTCTTAAAATATATAAATACGAAATAAAGACTAGACTCAGAAAAAATAAAACAGCAAAATACATTTTCGTTCTATAAAAAAATTTCGACTTCTCAGTATGAACAAATTAATATATTGTAAAATAGTGAATAGAATTATATCTATTATTTTGTTTTAATTTTCAGAATTTGATTTTATCGCCGTTTTCGAAATGGTTGAGAATAGCAAAATTTACAAAAAAAATTTTTTTATGTGAAAACCCGAAAACCCGATTAGTTTAGAACATTGAAACATGCGAGGGTATAATCGATTATTGATCAATGTTCTAAACCAATCGGGGTTTCGGATTTTCATATAACATTTTTATTTTTTTATTTTTTTTGTAAATCTCGCCATTCTTAACCATTTCGAAACAGCGATAAAGCATAATTTCGATTTCTTATGATTAAATAGAAAAATTTGCAACATGATCTGTTATACTTTATAAGCTCGAGACGGTCTACCGGCACAGCATCCACATGATTTATCTTTCTTATCGGCACAGCAATTGACATTTCATTTTTCCGATCTAGTCATTTTTTTGAAGCATACTAACTGTGGCAAGATAATAATGAAATTTAACTTATTTTATGTCCAATTTTTAAAAATTTTTTG